ATAATTGGGGGAGGAGGGTTGTCGGAAGAAGGAGTTGCTTCCCTACTCCCGATTTGTGGTCTCACCTTATTTGGCTGCCAGGAGAGAATTCAGCAGCCTTCAGAAAAGGAGCAATTGTTGCTAAGTTCCCTGCTTTTCTCCTCCTTCCCCCCCTCCAACCTGAAGTTGCCTTTCCTACCAAGGAAGATGGGATCCTAAACATCCCAGGATCCCCTTCCCAATGTTAGGATCTCATCTACTAACGTCCTTCCATTAGCCCCCCTCCCCTCCCCCATTGACTTTGCTAACATTAGGATCTCCGCTGCCCCATCCATCCGTTGGCATTCCCCACAGACAAGGAACCTCTTGCTCTCGGCTGCTCCCTGACCGCTTCCCCACCACAGGCCAGGAGGAGCTCTGCCCTCGCCCCGCTCCACCCTGCGGCCCTGGGGAATGCCCCGCTTGGGGGTCCTGGGGCTTCTGTGGGGTCCCACCTGGTTGAAGGGATCCGGAATACTGGGTGGCAGGTGGATCTGCCAGTCTCCTCTGCTTCTGCTTCTGCTTCTGCTTCTGCTTCTGCTTCTGCTTCTGCTTCTGCTTCTGCTTCTGCTTCTGCTTCTGCTTCTGCTTCTGCTCCGCCAGATCTCCCCGGCCTTTGAACTGCGGGTGGAGTTTATCTTGGGAACAAAGTCCACAGGAAACCCGATGAGACAATCGACCTTTCCAGCCGCATCTCATCAGCTCTTCTGGGTTTCCTATCCTAAAAAGGGTCCCTGAAATGGGGACAACCTTTCCTCCCGTCCTTGGAGGTCTTCTTCAGTGTCTGCTCCAGCCTGGGAGGCTGGGAAAGGATGAGGGAAGCAGAGGGTCTTCCTCAAAGCAGGAGACCCTGGGAAGCCCCTTACCTGCCCTTCCCCCTGAGCCCGGCAAGGGGGTGCAGCTGCCGCCCACTTCCTCCAAAGGCTGGACCACCTTTGTTGCCAAGTGTGGAGACCCCCCTGCTCTGTAGAGCTGCTTCTGCTCATAGGGAATTTGACTGACATTCCTCCAGAATGTGGAGTATTCCAAGAGAGAGAAGAGTTGGGGTCTTCTGGAAGGAGGCAGGTCTTCCTCCCACTGCCCCCCCGTCTATCTTCCCTTGTTAAGGTTAGAGACCCTCCCCACTCTCCACCCCATGGTTATCCCCCTGGGACCTCCCATTGGTCTGAGGGGAGGGGTCCAGAGGTGGACCTCGGACTTTGAGGCTCTCTCTGAAACAACTGAGATTGGCAGACTCCGATGATGCTCTCAGAAATCGCATTGATTTTCAGGAGTGTCCGTCAGATGTCGTCAAAAGTTGATTTGATTTAGAGAAAGGGCAAAAACTGTGGTTGCAAAATTATAAAATAATAATGTCAACTGCATATAAGGAAAATTTGTATAAGATGTTTTACAGGTGGCATTTACCCCTGACGAGAATAGCCAGAATGTTCAAGAATAAATCCAAAAAGTGTTGGAAATGTCATCAGACACCGGGCTCATATTACCATATGTGGTGGACATATGTAGAAGCTAAAAGATACTGGACTAAAATCCACACGTTGGAAAAAATGACAAAAAGACACATAGACTTTAAACCAGACTTTTTTTTTTTTATTAGGGATGGTGCCAGAAACATACAATAGAGAATTGAGATATTTGATTGTGAAAGTTTTAACAGCGGCTAGAATTGTGTTTGCTAAAAATTGGAAAAATGAGAAAGTACCAACTCAAGACGAAGTGATCAGGAAGATTATGGAATGTGCTGAAATGAGTAGATTGACATTTGAAATTGGAGAACAAGAAGACAAACAATATTATAAAATATGGGATTTATTTTATCTATGGCTAGATAATAAAACATGGAAATGAAATATGAAACATGAAATGAATGTTATAAATATAATATTTGAAAATAATTTTTATGAAGCAATTAAGCCATAGTTAAATAAAGGATAAATGAGGATACTTATTTGTTTGATATATGAGAAAGCAGATACTTATTAAACTTTGAATATGGGGACGAAGCACAAAAGATTTGTAACCGGTAGACACACTGTTTGCAATTGTATTGAATGATGGATTGATGTTTTACGTTTTGTTTTTAAATAATTTTTTTTTTCAAAAAAAAGAAAGTTGAGATGGTGCCTCGGGCCTCTCTCTCTCTCTCCCTTCCCTCCAGCCTCTCTATTTTTTCCTCAGGCCCCAGAAAAACCGAAGGCACGGGTACAGTATAGGTGGGACCTCAATCAACAGTAGTAACTGTGAGAGGATCTTGGAGTCCTAGTGGACAACCATTTAGATATGAGCCAGCCGTGTGCAGCAGCTGCACACAAGCCGACACAATCCTAAATTGCATTAACAGAGGGATAGAATCAAGACCACGTGAAGTGTTAATACCGCTTTATAAGGCCTTGGTAAGGCCACACTTGGAATCCTGCACCCAGTTTTGGTCGCCACCATGTAAAAGAGATGTTGAGGCTCTAGAAAGCGTGCAGAGAAGAGCAACCAAGATCATTAGGTGGCTAAACCATAGAAAGAAACTGGGTCTGTCTAGCTTGATGAAAAGAAGGACTAGAGGGGATATGATGGCAGTGTTCCAATATTTGAGGGGCTGCCCCAAAGAAGAGGGGGTCAACCTATTCTCCAAAGCACCTGAAGGCAGGACAAGAAGCAATGGGTGGAAACTAATCGGGAGAGAAGCAACCTGGAACTAAGGAGGAATCTCCTAAGGGTGAGGACAATAAATCAGTGGAACAACTTGCCTCCAGAAGTTGTAAATGCTCCAACACTGGAGGCTTTTAAGAGGAGATTCGATAACTCATTGTCTGAGGTGGTATAGGATTGCCTGCCTAAGCAGGGGGATGGACTAGAAGACCTCCAAGGTCCCTTCCAGCTCTATTCTGCTTGATTGGACGTCTGCTTGATATGGAGGTGGATCTTCTCAGCTTCCTCAGAGATCCAGCAGGCCTCACCTCTCACATTTCCTCTTCCTTGGCTTTAGAATCCCCGAATCCCAGAGTTGGAAGGGATCAGCTCAGTTTCAGCAACTGGCTTTTCTCCTCCCCTGAGGGCAACTCTGAAAGAGGAAGTTGAAGTGGAAAGTGAAAGCTCCAGTTCAGCTGAAGCATTTCTGAGAAATCTCCACAGATCCTGGAAAGCGAAAGTAGGGCTCGTTGTTAAGCAAGGAAGCTGGCTTGACCGAGGGGCCAGCAAATAGATCCTGCCTCTGTGGGACAGAGATTTATCTCAGCGTCCCTGCCGCTGTGGGGCAGCAGAGAAAGGGGTCAGCCTGGAGGAGTCCTGCGGTTCCGTCAAATGAGATATTGGCTTGTTTTTTGGGGGGATCTTCTGAACTTCTCTGAGAACTTTGACACTGAATGTCCTCAGAGCCGGCAAAGTTTCAAAGTAGCCTCTCTCTCTCTCTCTCTCTCTCTCTCTCTCTCTCTCTCTCTCTCTCTCTCTCTCTCTCTCTCTCTCTCTCTCACTCACACACACACACACACACACACCTTGTGGATTGTGTGACTTTACCCACCCCACCCCCTTGAACAATGTTCTGCAATTGACCCTTCTGCAGGGAGTGTGGGAGTGTAGTTGGATGGATGGATGGACAGATTGGTGAATGATAGATGGGTCGAGAGATGAATGGATGGATGGAGTGATGGAGAGGGATGGATGAATAGATGCATGGATGGATGGATGCAGGGATGGAGAGATGGATGGACAGATGGATGGGTGGGTGGGTGGATGGATGGGTGGGTGGATAAATACATGGATGGGATGGATGGATGGAAGGATGGATGGATGGATGGATGGATGGATGGATTGGATGGATGGATGATGGATACACAGATGGATGTTTAGATAGATGGATGACATGATCATACCATTCTTTCTCCCTGGGCTTGAGGAGATCACCAGTGACTGGACAATCAAGGAAGAAGTGATGGAGGATGCCTGCTGGATCTCTGAGCAAGCCAAGATGTCCCAAAGGAAGTTCTAAAAAGACCTTGGATTGTTTGGACCTTCTCAAGCTATGGAACCTCCTTAAGAAAATGGGAGTCCTAGACCATCTCGTTGTCCTGGTGTGAAATCCATGCTCAGGGCTGGAAGCAGAGGCTGGACCAAATGCAATGGAGTAGACCGGAGGTGCCTACAAGATGGAAAGAGGTTCTACTGCTCCGTGGTGGCACCCTCTCAACCTTTTGACCACGTCCTGCAGATACTCCTGAAAATCATGGTGATTTCCCCCATGATCCGAGTCCGAAAATCTCAGGAACTCACCCTCCTATCTCGGGAGAGACCCTCTGAAGTCCGAGGTGCAGCTGGGGACACACACACAAACCCCTCAGACCCACCGAAGTGCCCCGAGGGATAACCAGGAGAGGACGATGGAAGTGGAAAGGATGCTAATGTTGGCAGTGAGTGCCATCAGTGCAATGAAGACATCCCCCCTTCCAGGTCCATCTTCCTTACACATGCACACACACAATGCACACAATCACATCCTTTGATTTCTTCAACCAGGAACTCTCCGTTCCCCCAGTCTGACATCTTTTAAGGGAAGCCCCCCCTCCTCTCCCCTGGGACCCCAGGTTGGAGCACGGTTAAAGGAAGGAGAAGCAGACCTTAAAGAGAGGGGGGTCACTGTTCCCCCCTTTTTTTTGAAAAGGACGGAGAGATCGAGCGGCGAAGCAGAGAAGGAGAGCAGCAGATCCACCCTCCGCCGGGGATTCCTGATCCCTGCAACCAGGTGAGACCCCTCCCCAGAAGCTCTGAGAGTTAGGGGCAGTGGAGTGGAGTGGGGCGAGGGAAGGGCTTCTTCTGGGCCTCCGGTGGGAAGCAAGCCAAGGAGCTGCCCCTTTGACCCGAGGACGAGCGGTCCTTCCTTTCTGGGGGAAGCAAATGGGTGGGTGGGGGGAGCTGAGACCCTCCTCTGAGGAAAAGCAAGCAGAGAAGGGAGGAGGGAGGTGGAGTGGAAGAGACGAACAATCAACTGCTTGTTTTCAGAAGTTGTGGGGGCTTCAATTTTATTTATGATTTTTTTCTTTAACATCCAAACGTGCTTGGGGAACCGTGTATTGTCTGGGTTAATATACTTTGCATACAATTCTGATAATGATATTACCATTTAAATATACATAATCATAATCTTTCAATTTTGAATATTTGTGTATACATAGTAATTATAATAGGCTATTATATTTCAGGATACATAATGCTATTTTCCCAATTTCTACTTTCGACTTCTTTTCTTCTAATATTTCTTGCGTTGGTGGCTTCTCAGCCTGATATACCTCAAATGATTGACAGATGGGAAGCCCGGGAGTGTCTGTGCTTCCAAAGGGACAGGGGTCCAGGATGGGAGAGAATTAGGCTGTGGGGCCGGTTGATACTGGGGTGGGGTGGGGGCAGGATTTTCACGTGGCTTTGAAGAAAGTCCTGTCATCCAAGGGGAGAAAGTGGGTTCTCAGGAGAAGGAATTGGCTCAGGGAGACTCAGCCATGAGTCTCAGGTACTTTGGAAGTCACCTGGCGAGGGCTGGATTAGAACACAGAACAGAAGGAAGGAAATGGAGGGCCTTTGGGAGAGTTGCCACTGTGGAGCAGAGGATCAATCAGTCTCTATGAAAACAACTTGAATTTTTCCTTGAACTTCTCCGCCATCAGCATGTCTTCCGTGTAATAAGGAGCATCCCCATTCTTCTGCACCAGTTGATCAATCATGGTCATCAGCTGGGCCACCTGAGCCTCTCGTTCTTCTCCTGTGGCCTTGTTGCCGAAAGCCAAGAACCGGTTCCCACAATGGTATGCCTCTTCCCTAAAACAGACACCTTCCCCAGATATGTATTCCTCCAGAGACCTTCCGTCCAGGTCCTCTTTCCGGGTGAACAAGAGGATCATGTAATTCAGGGCCCTAAAGCTGAACATCTCTCTGATCAGCTGAGCCACTTCCTTCTCGTCATGGGAGAAAAGGCCAGGACGCACGATGCGCAGAATGACATGTGGACCCGGGGAGCAAAACTTCATACACTTGCTCACTTCGGGAAGAGTTTCTCTCATGGGATAGCCAGTGTCCAAGATGCCAGGTGTATCGACCACCACAACCTTCCTGCCATTCAGCTGTGCCTCTTCTCTTTGGCAAGTTTTGGTCAGTAGTCTAAGTGACATCCCAGACACAAAGGCTTTTCTTCCCAGAATTGTGTTTCCTGTTGCACTTTTCCCGTTTCCGCCTTTGCCCACAAGGACGATCCTCCGCTCAGGTCCTACCAAACGGGGAAACAAGAAGGAGACGTGGTCAGCAGCTCCATCATTTTTCCCACCCCACCCCCACCCTGCCAGCCCCCAGGGCTCATGGCTTTACCTCCGAAGTTTGCAGTCCTACCCAGAGGAGTCGCCCAGGACAGATCTGGCGGTTTCTGCATGAAAAGAGAAACAGAATCAGCCAAAGGAGAAGCTGCCTTGCTCAGAAGTGGCCAGGAAGTGTCCTCTCCCAGAACGAACAGGCAGGACCTGAAGGGGCCTTAAAAGAGGGTCACCCCCTCCTCACTGCCCTTGAGGCAGTCATCGGATCCCTTCCCCCCTTTTTATGCAACCCTTCAAACTTTTGGATTCTGCACTTTGGGGCTTTCGGGAACAGTGGGCATTGATGCCCCAAATGGCTGGCAGTTCCCCGCAGCCAATGCGATGCTGAAGGGATCCTGTTCTCTGGGCCTTCAGCTGCAATTCCAGAATGACACCAAGTGCTCCCCAGACCCTCGTCCTCCGGGTTCCTCTCCCACCTCTCTCTTTGCTGGTAGGAATCCTTCCCGGGGGTTGAGGGGAAGCTCTGTGGTGGAGGCTCTTTGTTCCAACCCCTTCCATCCTGGGCAAGCAACGTTTGCTGGAAATGCTGATTGCACCCATGCATGCCTGCCCCCACCTGATGCTGCCTCCTAGGATACTTCCCTGCCCTTTGGCACTCCTGTCAGGTCTGCCATCTCCAACATATGCAGCTTTGCTGGCATTTTGCCATGAAATGTAGGGAGAAGTCAGGGTGATAGGAGGGGGGAATGACAGGGTGTCAGGAACCAGAGGTGTTAGTCTGGAACAGTCCAGCTGATCAAGGACAGTGCTGGGAAGATGGAATGCAATGGGAGATATAAAAAATGCAGGCCTTGCTTGTGCTGTCACCAGTGATGGGATTCAACCAGTTCGCACCACTTCGGGAGAACCGGTGGTTAACTTTCTGAACAGTTTGGCAAACTGGTTGTTGGAAGAAATCATTAGGGCACAGAACCGGTTGTTAAATTACTTGAATCCCACCACTGGCTGTAACCACTTGACTTTAGTAAAACCAACACCTTCAATTCAACGATGGAATCGAGGGTCTTTCTTTCCTAAATGATCCAGTCGGGACAAGCCTGACAGTCTATGTTCAAGACCTCAAGGGCCCATCCCTCCAGCAATCTTGCTGAATTCAAGCAACTCTGATGCTCCCTCATCCCAAGCATAGGTGACTTGGATCAGGCCTGGCCCCCCCTAGGAGTTTCCCCCAAGTAGCCCTGCCAGGTCCCACTCAGCCTTGGGACACTCTGATGTGCTTGTCCCGTAAGTTGGGCTCCAACTACAGCCGGTTGACGTATCTCCCCCAATTCTCGGAAACAGTTCTCTGCAAAGTCTCCATCAGCTCAGAGACCTGCCTCTCCTGCTCAGCTCCCACAGCCCAATGATTGAACCCACAGACGGATCAGGCCCCACAGAGCCTCGTTGTTGGACTAAGAGGAGGAAGAGGAGCTGCTTTTGATTCTTGGGAGCCTAAAGATTTGGAGGATCGAGTAGAGACAGAGCGACATTCTCTCTTTGGTATTTTGGTGTGGTGAGTATTTTTTCTCTCGCTTTGACTTTTACATCTCCTATGTGGGACAAACAGGAAGGCAATTAAAAACAAGGGTTTGTGAATATCAACTAGAACTTAAACAGCACAACCAAAAATCCCTGATCTCGACCCACATTGACAATGAACAACAGCTGTTCGATTGGGAAGGAACAAAAATCATCGGCCATATCAGCACCCACCACACACATGAATTTATTGAAGTCTGGTATTCTATCAAAAGGGATGCAGTGGCTCAGTGGCTAAGACACTGAGCTTGTCGATCAAAAGGTTGGCAGTTCAGCGGTTCGAATCCCTAGTGCCGCGTAACGGGGTGATTTCCCATTACTTGTCACAGCTTCTGCCAACCTAGCAGTTCGAAAGCAGGTAAAAAATGCAAGTAGAAAAATAGGGACCACCTTTGGTGGAAAGGTAACAGCGTTCCGTGCGCCTTTGGCATTCAGTCATGCGGTCACATGACCACGGAGACGTCTTCGGACAGCGCTGGCTCTTCGGCTTTGAAACGGAGATGAGCACCGCCCCCTAGAGTCGGGAACGACTAGCACATATGTGCGAGGGGAACCTTTACCTTCTTATTCTACCAAAGGAGCAATTCACAAGCATATGGATCTAGATCCAGGATATGAATACATAAGAAACCAGACTATTCGAACGACCAATCAACAAGCGAACCAATCAGCTGCTCAGAATTCAAATATAGCTCCAAACAAACAACCAATCACACGACCTACTGACCTACTGACCCACAAGACATTGATAAGCTAAGAAAAATAGGACAAGAAAATCCTGCTGATGACGTTACCTAGCCTGGTAATGAAATGTTCAGAAATGAAATTGAAACAAGCTTGGAGAGTAAACCTTGGCCAACATCTCATATGTCTCCAGCTCCAGAATGGACTTCCAGGCACCCCTTCACACAAGCCAGAGCATGAGGGTCCCCAATTACACCTACACACCCCAACTGCAGCCATAAATTTTTGAATCCCACCATGAAGTCAAATGGGATCAAATTATTCTCCAGAGCACCATAGGCAGGGGCGAAATGCTACCGGTTTGCTCCAGTTCGAGCAAACCGGTAGTAAAAGAAAAAGCTACCGGGAGGACTTCCAGTGGCATCGCAGGCGCTGACAGATGCTCCTTTCGGACCGTCAGCCCCGCGATTTTGTTAAAACGCCAAGACAGTGCAAATCAGCTGTCTGGTGGCTTGGAAACCTTCCCCTCGAGAGAGAGGGAGGTGAGCAGCCGGACTAAGGTAGAGCTCCCCAAAAGCCCTAGGAGCAATTCTGGGGCTTGGAGGGTGAGAGCTCCCTGGTAGTCTAGCTGAGCTCCGAATCTGATGCTTTTCTGCTTCAAGCAGAACAAGACACCGTGACCACCCCTGCAATCAACATTCAGATTCAAATAAGCTTAAAGCAGGCAGAACAAAAACAGGAGTCCTAGCAACTGCAAGTACTGAACTTTAACTCTGTGTCTATATTTCTTCCTTCTAAGACTTTTAAAATGAAAGCAAAAATGGCGCCTGAACTGTAACAGGGCATGAAAGTGAAAGTGATAGTGAAAGTGATAGTTAACATCGTTAGCGCTTCTGAGGCTGTTTAAGATTGCTGGGTTCTACAACAAAGAAAGAAAGATTTAAAGTGGAAAGGCTACACTTTGGATTTTAAATAAACTATAATACTTTTAAAAGATTTTAAAATATTTGGATTTATTGATTTGGTTGCTGTAGGAAGTATAAATTGAAAGCTAAAAATGGCTTCTAAGCAGATAAAATCTGGCTTTAAAAGTGCTGGAGGATCGCCAGCACAACCATCAAAACTACAATCTTTGTCTACTTCAAACCCACAAATATTGACTTTGGAAGTTCTACAGGAATCTCTGCAGGACGCTTTGAAGCAACAAACCTCTTTTTTAGAGGAGAAAATTAAGGGAGTGTCTGAAGAAATGGCTGAAATTAAAGAAGTTATACAAATTCGGAATAAGGAAATAAAGAAGACATAGTAATGGCATTTCAGGGTCTGGCAAAACACATTGAATTGTTGGATGAAAGAGTAGAAGAAATTAACCAGTCCAATCTGAATTTGGAAAATAAAATGGATGAAGTTCAGACCAAGGTGGAAAGGGCAGACGATGAAGTGGTGATGTTACAGTATAGCGCGATGGAATTTGCCCTGAGAGTAAGAGGTTTGAGAGAACACAATCGAGAGAACTTGAGAGAGATCTTTGCAGAGGCTTTTGCATAGATAATGGAGAGCAACAAGCAGATCTCTCATTGCAAATTGACAAAATATATCGTGCTAATTCCTGGTTTGCCAGACAGAATCAATTGCCAAGAGACATTGTGATTTATTTTACAACGAGTAGGACCCGAAATGAAATTTTACAAGCTTTCTATAAAAATAAACTTCAAATTGCAGGACAAGAGGTTTTAGTGCTGAAAGAAATTTCCCCAAAAATGTTGAGAAGCAGAAAGGAGTTTGCTTTCTTGGTGGATGAACTTAGAAAATGACAGATTCAGTTTAGATGGGATGTTCCAGTTGGACTAATGGTGAATTATATGGGAGAAAGGTATCGCCTTAACACAATTTGGAAGGCAAGAAATTTTTATACTAATGTATTAAAGGCTGGATGCCCACCATCTCAGGAAATGAGGAGAAGAAAAGAAGAGCTGGCAATACAGGGACAGAAGGAAAGTAAACAGCCACAAGCTGTTCAAGGTGCCAAGAATGGCAACTAAATTTTTGACTTGGAATGTCAACGGTTTAAATTCACCACAAAAGAGAAAGAAAATATTTCATTATCTGAAACAGTTTAAAAATGATGTAATTTGTCTGCAAGAAACATATATTAGAGTGACAGATCAAAAATACTTGATAAATTCAAGATTGGGAACACACTTTGTTGCATCTGCCCCAGAGAAGAAAAATGGTATAGTTATATACCTAAGGACAGATTTAACAGCTAAATTAATTGAGGCAAATGCTCAAGGAAGATATATTGCAATTGAACTTTTAATAGAGGGGAAGAAAACACTTTTAATTGGAGTATATGCTCCCAATCAACAGCAAGAAAATTTTTATAAGTTTTTGCATACTAAAATAATACAATGGGATTATAAATCATGTATATTAATGGGTGACTGGAATAGAATACTGGACACTCAAAAAGACAAAAAAGGATTACCTCAAAATATCTAAAAACGTGCAAGATTGCCCAAATCTTTTTTTGACATGATGGATGATATGGAGTTGAGAGATATTTGGCGAGAATGAAATCCAGGAGAAAAGGATTTTATTTTTTTTTCTGACAGACATCAATCCCTTTCCAGGATTGATTTCATATTGATTATTAATGATTTCTTTTCTAGGGTAAAGAAGACGAAGATATGTTCAAGAATTTTATCTGACCATAGTCCGGTGTGGATGGAATTAGAGCAGGAAAAGGGACCCAGAAGGTCTTGGAGGTTAAATGAAAATTTGTTTAGATATGAGGAAAATGTGAAAGAATGTAAAAAACAAATGAAAGAATTTTTTGTCATGAATATGAACAAAGGTACACCTATGGAAATGGTCTGGGATGCAAGTAAAGCATATATGAGAGGAACCTTAATACATTTGAATAATAAATATAGACGTAGACAAGAAAAAAAACGGAGGGATTTAGAAGAGGAAATAAAAATGAAAGAGCAGGCACTCATACTGAATCCAACAGATAAGAAAATAAAGGAAACAATAAATTTGTTATGAGGGCAGTTTAATATGTTGATGGCAGACCAAGTGGCAACTAATTTACAATATGCTAAACATAATACTTTTTGTAATGCAAATAAACCAGGTAGATGGTTAGCTTACTTGTTAAGGAAGAAACAAAAGTTACGTACTATAGAGAAGATAGAATTCAAAGGTAAAGAGGTATATCAACAAAATATGATTAAAAAAGCTTTTTTAGAATTCTATACAAAGTTATATGCTAGTGATACAATTCAAGGTAAAGACATAGACAGATATTTACAGGAGGAGAATATTCCTGTAATCACACCAGAGCAGAGGGAAGGATTGAACCGACCAATAACTTCGGAGGAAATTATTTTAGTAATTAAACAGTTGAAGGGGGGTAAAGCTCCAGGCACAGATGGATTGACAGCTGTTTATTATAAAAATTTGCAGTTAGAAATGGTAGAACCGCTTAAGGAACTATTTCAGAAGATCCAAGCTGGAGGAGATGTACCCACTTCTTGGAGAACAGCTTTTATTTCATTGATTCCAAAGGAGGACCAAGATCATAGTCAACCTAAGAATTATAGGCCAATATCACTTTTAAATACTGATTATAAGATTTTTGCTAAAATACTAGCAAATAGGTTAATGGTAATTATGCAATAAATGATTCATAATGACCAATCTGGATTTATAAGTGGGAGACAAATAAAAGGTAATGTAAGACAAATTGTAAACTTATTGGAATATCTGGAAAGGAACAACCAAGTTCCTGCAGTGCTTATCTTTTTGGATGCGGAGAAGGAATTTGATCAATTGAATTTTCAATTTTTATTGAAAATAATAGAAAAGATGCAGTTTGGAGAATACTTTACACAATCTATTAGGGCAATATATCAGAGATAAGCAGCACAAATAATAATTAATGTTGGTTTAACAGAAACTTTTAAAATTGAAAAAGGAACAAGACAGGGATGCCCTTTATCACCATTATTGTTTATTTTAACTTTGGAACCATTACTGAATAAAATACAAGGGTGGAATAAAATAAAGGGAATTAAAATTAGACATCATGACTATAGATTAAGAGCATTTGCGGATGACTTGGTTGTTACTTTAACCCAACCAGTACAATCAGTTACAGGCTTACTGGATATAATTAACCAATACGGTCAAATGTCTGGATTTAAAATAAATAAACAAAAAACAAAGATAATAGCTAAAAATATGACGGTAAAGCAAAAAGAAGAACTAGAAAGATTAACAGGATTTGAAATAATTAAAAAGGTTAAATATTTAGGGGTATATATTACAGCCTCAAATGTAAAATTATATAAAAATAATTATGAATTGCTATGGCAAAAAATACAGAAAGAGATGGAGAATTGGGGAAAATTATAATTATCTTTGTTGGGGAGAATAGCAGCAATAAAAATGAATGTTTTACCTAGGTTTTTATTCTTGTTTCAAATGATACCAATACTTAAGAAAGATGATAATTTGAGGGAATGGCAGAAGGGTATTAATAAATTTGTTTGGGCAGGGAAAAGACCGAGAATAAAGTTAAAAACAATGCAAGATATACGTGAAAGAGGAGGTCTTAAAATGCCTAATTTAAGATTATACTTTGAAGCAACTGTCCTAACAATAATTAGTGACTGGATTA